TATGGAGATAACAACTAATCTAATTCATTCTATATTAGTTTGGATGGTAAGAATTTTAAATGGGAATGAAATTATGAGTTTTTATAATTTATTTAGAATAAAAAATATAATTCTTGATTATGTATTCAAGCTGAAATAATTTTTCGAAATCAATCAGGAATGTGGTCCTCACAACTACTTGGCAATTTCTCATTCCAACTCAATTCAGAAGGGGGAAAAATAAAATAAATAAAATTACAAATATGCCTCTTGAAATTTGTTTAAAACACGGATTGCCCCATTTGATTTGAAAATTTTCAAATATCCCTTGTCAAAAAAACTTATTTAACAAAATTAACTAAAAAAATAAATTTTCTATCTGCTCTCATATAGAGTAATAAAATTACTTTAATTACTAACTGAAATAAATTTGTGACATAATTAAAACCCGTTAATTGAATTGATAATTTATTAATAAAATGGGTCATTTATTATGAAATAAGAAACTTCAGTGGATGGAATGTAATTTTCAGAATTATAGGGAATAATTTATATTTTGAGCAAATTTCAAGAGGTGTATTTGTAATTTATTCCAAAAAAAATTTTCTACTATACTACTATATGTAGAGCAATTGACAAAATTAAAAATCATAGTCGGTCCCTTTTTTCTTTTCTTTTTTTTTTCTCTCTCCTCTAATCTCTTTCTAACTTTCATATTTGTTATTGTTAGGTGTACCTCTTACACAATTTTATTTTATTTTGTAATGGAAAAATGGTTTCTGAATTTCTTAATTTCTTGATGGATGACAATAATTAACAAAGGGTATTTCACAATTATTAAAAATAAAAATTAGTACACAAATAAAAATTTTATTTAGTATTTTCACCCAAAATAATGTAGCTCTGGTATTTTTGAGATTACAAGTTGTAATGATGGGGGTTGGGGGCTTAAATTAAGAGAAAGAAAAAAATTTAAAATGACTTTTGTTATAAATTATATCCAATTGTCATCGTAGTCAACCGAACACGCGGACAATGTGCAAGAGCTACCGTATTCTTATCCACTGCAAATATGAATCCCAAACCTCACTAACGTTCTGTTTGGTATGGAGAATTTAGGGAGAAATTTAGAAAGTGAAAGAAAAAAGTTATGTCAAATTAAATAAAATATAGGTATATTTTATTTATATTTTACCTATTTTTTCTCTTTTTCTTCTCAAAATTTTCAAATTAATATAACCTAAAGATTATTTTGGAAGTTAATTTTTCAAGTAATTTTTTTATGAAAAAAGGTATAAGAAAATAGAAAGATTTAATTTTTTTTAATGAGTTTTTGAGTTTTTAACTAAAATATTATCTTTTTAAAATAGCCATAAATACGCATAAAATACATGCCTGGATTAATGGTTAGCCATATATGCTCACTATATGGAGACTATCATCACATGAGTATTGTGTAAACATTTTTATAAATTTTTTAAAATTTAGGCTTGTTTTGAAAATTAAGAAAAAAAAGTAAATTTATTAGTTTTTTTAAAAAAAATATGCAAAAAAAATTAAATAACTTATATAATCCAAATAGATCAATAAATTAATAAATTGATGTTTTTTAATTACCAAAATAAACCTTAAAGAATTTTGAACATTTTGTGATGGAGAGATGTTTGGATCAAAATGTGAATAAATACTGAATAGATGAGCTGACTGACAAGACCGACCAAGTCTTTAGAAAATTGATTTTTTCAAAAATGTTTCCGCTCCCCTCAAAATAAGACCCCCTCGACCCCCTCTGAACTGGACAGCACGTGATGGGTCACGTGACATACCAAGCCCGACGCCCCTCCTATTTCAGAATTCAAACACATTTTTGAACGGGAAAAAATAGCTCGAGGAGATTTTTGAATGGGAAAATATAGAGGAGATGACAATGGCGATCGAGAGGCAGAATGACTCCTCTTGAACTCGACGGCTCCAACTCCCAACTCCGAAGGTCGATTCCTTCAGCTCCTCCCTTTCACTCCGACGTCCTTGACTGCGACGCCCGACGCCCGACGCACTCTCTCTCTCCCTCCCTTTCCATCTTATTCAACGGACCCCCTCTGTTGAAATTTCTGAAATTAACATATATATGTTGTTGATGCCCTAATTTATACAGATTTGTTCAGATTTCTGAAATCTGTGTAAAAATCTCTGTAAAATCTGAACAGATGGATTGAATTTCTGAAATTGAAAATCTGTGTAAAATCTGAACATATGGATTGAATTTCTGAAATTGAAAATCTGTGTAAAATCTGAACATATGGATTGAATTTCTGAAATTGAAAATCTGTGTAAAATCTGAACATATGGATTGAATTTCTGAAATTGAAAATCTGTGTAAAATCTGAACATATGGATTGAATTTCTGAAATTGAAAATCTGTGTAAAATCTGAACATATGGATTGAATTTCTGAAATTGAAAATCTGTGTAAAATCTGAACATATGGATTGATGCCCTAATTAACATATATTTTATTATTCTCAATTCCATATTTTATTATTAGGTAAAATATGTGTAAAAATCAAATTTCTGAAATTAAATTTGTTGAATCAAATTTATGAAATCAAATTTACCTTTGCTTTTGTTTTTGACTTAAATAAGATGATTAAAATTAAGATAGTGACTTTGGAAAATTGACATTTGAGCTATTTACTTACACTGACCTATTTACTGAATCTGTGTAAAATATGTGACTATCAAATTTGCCATTGCCGTTGAGTGAATTGGAGTTTGAATTGGAGTTTGAATAGTTAATGAGCTATTTACTTACACTCAGCTATTTACTGAATCTGTGTAAAATGTGTGACTATCAAATTTGCCAAAGTAGTTAAGTGAATTGGAGTTTGAATAGTTAAGAGTTATTTACTTACACTGAGCTATTTACTGAATCTATGTAAAATCTGTGACTATCAAATTTGCCAAAGTAGTTAAGTGAAATGGAGTTTGAATTGGAGTTTGAATAGTTAATGAGCTATTTACTTAACTATTTGAAATTTGCCAAAGTAGATTAAAATTGAAAAGTCACTATCAAATTTCTGAAATCAAATTTGCCAAAGTAGATCAAATAGTTGTTTAACCCTTCTATTTACTTAATGGAGTTTGAATTGGATTTATGAAATGGAACTAGCCCAATGTTCAAATTTCACTTAAACAGCATGAACCAAGGTGTTAATGTTCGAGTTTCACTTACAATTCAAAAATGGAACTAGCCCAATGCACAAAAAATGTAACTTGTATGAGTTCAAATTCAAACTGACAGTGTTTGAATTTTCACTTTTTGATTCAATTTCAGACTATTCCCATATGAGACTATTGAGTTCACTTTCTGATTCAATTTTCAGGTAATGAGGCTAACTTGTTATTGCATATGTCAAGTTCAACTGTGAACGCCAGTAGCTCAGATCGGTTGATGTACTTTAACAAAAATTGTCCTACATGTAAGAAAAAAGCTATCATTCAAATTTCTGAGACCGATCGAAACAAAAACAAGCTATTCTACTCTTGTAATGGTTGTGGTCTTTTCATTGGATGGTGTGTGCCTATGAATTCAGAATGTGGAGATCAAGAAATTCCAAGACAAGTAGAAAGAGAACTGCTAAGATCTATGACGGAACAAGTTCGAGCTATGACCGAACAACAAAGATCTATGACGGAACAATTTAGCTGTGTTACTGCAAAGATGCAAAAACTAGAATTTGTGATGTTTTTCTTGCTTGTAATTGGTGTGTTATTACTTATGAAGATGTAATGCTAGTTAGAAGTAGAAGTAGAAGTAGATTGAACTATGTTTTGTTGTGGAATGGAATATGTATTGTTGAATATGTTTTGTGGAATGGAATATGTGTTGTTGTTAATTGTTGAATTTTTGAGTGGAATAGAAATGACCCACTGAATTGTTGAATTGTCATTGTTGAATTGCTGAATGAAGATGTGGAATGAAGATGTGGTATTGTGGAATTGTTGTGAAATGAAGATGTGTTATTGTGGAATTGTTGTGGAATGAATATGTGTACCATGAACAGGTTTTAAACCATGAATTGAACCATGACCCATGACAGATTTTAAACCATGTCAGATTTTAAACAGGTTTGTTGTGGAATGAAGATATTGTGGAATTGTTGTGGAATCAAGATGTTGAGCATGAACCATGACAGATTTTTTACAGATTTGAACCATGATTTGAACCATAAACAGACATATTTTGGCAACCATGATTTGAACCATACACAAATATATTTTTGCAACCATGATTTGAACCATAAACAGATTTTTACAGATTTGAACCATAAACAGATTTTAAACAGCATGAACCATGAACCCTCATTGACAGCATAAACCATGAACCATCATTGATAGCATGAACCATCATTGACAGATTTTAAACAGCATGAACCATGAACCATCATTGACAGAACCAGATTTCAGACATTTCAGCATGATTTTTACATAGATTACACAGATTTTTAAACCAGATTTTGGACAGATTTTTAAACCAAATTTCAGACATTTGAGCATGAAATGTGAACCATGAACCAGATTTTACACAGATTTGTACACAGATTTCAGATTTTTACCAGATTTCACATCATTGACAGATTTTTGCAAATTTTACACAAATTTTTACAGATTTGAACCATGAACTAAAAAAACCATATTTTGGCTAAAATCATTTTTCTTATAGATTTCTTAAACCATGAACTGTGAACAGAGATTCTGCATGAACTCTCAAAAAATCATGCTCAAACACTGACAAAATGCTCAAACACTGTCAAAATAGCAAAATGAAACAGATTTTTTTACAGAATTTTTTAAACCATCAACTATGAACTGAAAATGCTGAAAGACAAATTGTCAAAATAAACCATGAACTCAATAACCAATCTTCGAAATTCAAACACAACATGCGTTAGACATGTAATATGGGACTTAACATAATAAGTTTCAATCTCAAAAACAAAATGTCAATGTTCAATAAACTAGTCAAACATTTCTACAATCTCCATCATTCATTCGCGCTGTGCAATGTCCGTCATTCATTCCCGGTGTGCATGCATTAGAACCCGATGGGGTTAGAGATCCAGATCCAAAAAATTGAGTTGGACCATGAATCAAACTTTTCGGTGTGCCGCTTACAAAGTTCGATGGGATAAGAGATGTGCCTCCAATAGCATTTACGACCTGTCATAATTCAAGTAAAAAAAGTCATGTTACAAAATATTTGTAAATGAAAACAAAAAATGAATGTAAAGTCGTCTTATGAACACATACCGGTGAATACACACTATTTTGCATGCCAACCATATATGGATAATATGATGTATAAGCTTGAGCTTGAGCTTGAGCTTGAACTTGAGCTTGAACTTCAGCTTGAGCTTGAGCTTGAACTTCAGCTTGAACTTCAGCTTGAGCTTGAGCTTCAAATTGAAGAACCTTAGCAGCCTATATTGGTTCAAGAGTTTGTAAAAATGTAGTTGAAAAGAGTTTGTTAAAAAATTAAAAAACAAGTTCAATTCCATATACAATTTACCTTTGCTTTTGTTTGTTTTTTTGTCGTTGCCTTGAACCGATTACTATTTGATCTACTTTGGCAACCTTTCGTTTCGTTACTGGACGGCCTCTTCGCCGAACAACCAAAGGACTAACCACCTTCCTCGTACTAGCACCCGATGTACATCCGGTGGCAATTGGACTTTTTGTAGAAGATGGTATCCTATTAGTAGAAGGTGGTAAATTACTCCCATCACCCGATTCATCGTGCATGACTCTATCCTTCATTTCATCCAACCCATGGTCTATAATTTTAATTTTCCCTTCCGAATTACCAGCAAGTTGTATAATGGCGATCAATTTCTTGTTCATCCTCTCATAACAACTTGTATTGAAATCATCTCCAAAGCCAGTGTACGTGGTTTTGATGCATGTGTACTCTCGAACCAAATCTTTCCTCCAACGTGGCAAAATATACTTACTTGGCACCTCATTTATGCACCTTCTCACAAGCACCGTGAGTGAGTAAGCACACATAATGCCTCTAAACTGAAACAACCGACGCATACATTGAACTTCACATTCAATTGAATTAAAATACACAACAAAGTCCACATGCTTCATCTTGTCACAAACTACCATCGCTTCTTGGACATTATATGTACAAATTGCTCCCTCCTCTCTGACAATCACGGCTTGACAGTACACTAATCTCTTCAACTCTCCTTGAACTTCTTTGAATTTTGCATTGGTGTAGGCTTGTTGAAATTGCTTCTCGAAGCCATATATAGTTAGACAATCAAACAATTTGTGTCGAGACTTGAAGTCTGATTTCTTCTCTTTCTCTACCTTACTTCTCAACGCATTGTCATATTGTTCAACAAATTGTTTTAATGTTGTCTTCGGGTTGACATATCCATCAAAAAAAGCATTCATGCTTTCACTTCGTTGTGTTGTTGACATGCCAGCCCAAAAAATGTCTTTAACATATATAGGAACCCATCGATGCCGCTCATAATATAGTACCCCCAACCAGTCATTATCATAAAGATTGAATTTAGTAAGCATCTCTTCCCATTTTTCCTCAAATTCATCTGTTGTCAAACAATCATAAATTGCATTTTGCATAGCCAACTTCATGGGTTCATACTGAGTATATCCTTTCAACTTCTCCGGTATTTTCTTCATTACATGCCATAAGCACCATCGATGCCGGGCCTGTGGAAAGACAATTTCTATAGCATTTTGCATAGCTCTGCACTGATCAGTTATAATAGCTTTTGGAGGTTTATTTGACATGCAACTTAACCACGACTTAAATAGCCAAACAAATGTGTCGGTCTCTTCACTACATAACAATCCACAACCAAGCAAAATAGACTGTCCATGGTGATTGACTCCTACAAATGGAGCAAATGGCATGTCATATTTGTTCGTCAGATAAGTTGTGTCAAATGAAACAACATCTCCAAATGATTCATGCATAGCCCGACTCCTTGCATCAGCCCAAAACAAGTTTCTAATGCGAAACTCCTCATCAACATCAATCACATAAAAGAATTTCTCACTATGTGCTTGCATCCTCATAAAATAACTTTGAAGTGATTCGGCATCACCTTCACCAAGCCTTAATCTTCTAGCTCTATTGATGCAATTCCTTGCATCTCGCTCATCAAATGTCAATGACTCGTATCCCCTCGCTTCAACAACCATTGAATGATAGTTCCTAGACACCCCAATCCCTGCTTGATCATTGATTTCTAATCTTCTCTTCACATGAGTACGAATTTTCTTATTCATTGCAAAATGACGAGAGTCGGTGGGAATCAACTCATGATTATGCTCAAGGTTAACTGTGGTTAACATATATGTTCCATTCTTTTGTAGAGTACCTCGTACCCTTGCTTTGCAATCAATTTTTGTGGACAAAGATGGCTTCAAAGGGTTCACTTCTGATTTCTTTTTTCTCTCCCCCGCTCGAGAACATTCAATTGCAAAGTTTTTTAATTCGCCATCATCTCCAAAATGTTGTGCTCTATGAGCTATAGAAAAGCCAACATACTTAGCATATGTGGCATAAAATGTGTACACTTCTTCCCTTGAGCTAAAACACATACCCTTCTTCGGTTCTTCAACTTGTTTTTGAGGGGGTCAGAAATCAGATTCAACTTGTTCACCCTCATTTACTAAAGGATTGTCACAACCATTTGAATCAACCTCCATTCTACAAGAATCAAAAATGAAATTCAAATAGAATGATTTTAGAATAATAATTTTATAAGATCAAACATCAGCTAATCAACTGTACAAACTGTTGAAATAAACCATCAAACAAATTCAAACATCTGTGATGTGTAAAACTAATCACAGATGTTTATAAGATCAAACATCAGCTAAAATATTATAAAACTAATAATAAAATTATTAAACTAATCAAACATCTAATAATAAACTTTGTTGAACATATCTGTGATGATTGAAACATTGAAAAAGTTTGCATTTTGGTTTAATTTATCATATATCAATGCTACATGCTGTTGGTGTTCTCACACAGTGCCAGTTTCTTCTCCACTTCTAATTGCATACCATGATCTATCCAGTTTTACTACGGGTTCCTATACCACATATGCAGACCCGTTGAAATTCCTTGGGGTTGAGGTAAGTGGATGTATTCAAGTCGCAACCTATGAAAGATGGATCCAAGAAATTCCAATTGGAGCAATAGTGGAATTCAGGCCTTTTATTGAATCGAGTTGTTGTGTCCAACTTTTATTCCCTCTGTTTTATCCGTATTATGCTTCCATACTTCCTGGTAGGATTCACCAGTATGGTGATAACATAATAACTTGTAATGGTCAAAAATTGGTAGTTATTTTCGCACCTTCTGTAATGTCCAAAAAGTGAATGACTACAATAAAAAATTTGATAATCACAAAGAAATTCTCTGCTTCAATTCTCGGCCAAAACAAACTGATAACATGCAGGCATGTCATCATTTGGGGTTATGAACAGATTTTATATACAACCCCAAATTATGAGCATCAACCATGACAGTTTCAACATGGTTGATGTAGATAGAGAGAGAGAGGGAGAATCAGGGAGAATCAGGGGTTTTCGAGTAACATTACCTGACAAAATGCTATGGTCGACGGAGAGCTATGGTTGACAGAGAGCTATGGCCAACGGAGGAGAGCTATGGTCAACGGAGGAGAGCCATGGGGGACGCACGATGGAAGGGAAGACGTTCCCGCTTTTTTTTTCCATCTTTCTTTTCAGTATTTTTCTTATCTTTCAGGTGCGTGTATAACACTTTCTTCATTGTGCGATTCTTCTTCAGATGCCTTCATTAGCTGCCACCTCAAAGGGGGTGGAGGGGGTCTTCAATTGAGGGGGTCTGTATCGGAATTGTTTTGAAAAACATATTAAGAGTTATTTTGAGAAAATGGTTATAATCAATTTTTTGGTTAAAAATTGATTATAAGCTAATTATAATCAACTTTTTGTGAGAGAGGGAAGTGGGTTATACCACTTCCCAAAACAAGCCTAATGAAAGAGAAAATTTTCCCACCTAGATTAATTCATCCAAAATTTTTTGAATAGGTAATTGTATGATAAAAGTTAATTTTTATAATGTAAGGTTTATGTAGAATTCATGTGAAGTGTGATAGAGATTAATTTTTGACTAATTTTTAAATTAATAAGGATGAAATTACTCTTAACAAAAATACAATTGTTCCATTGCAAAACACATTATTTAATAAAACAAAATGACTAGTATATATTTCATGAGACCTAGTCATTTTTTAATTCATTAAACATGACATTGGTTTGTGAATGCACACAAAATGTGAAACGCACATGATCTAGCATGAAGCTAATGGACAGCCTAGCTACTGTTTAGTGTTGAGAAATCCATCAATCATTGGTGTCTCTAACCCAAGTGGCCTTAAACTAACATGTATGGTTGTATTACAGTCGTCCCACCAAAAACGAATTGAAAAAGCCTACTCTCTGCCTTGAAGGTTACGCGGTAGTAGTAGTCTTAAACAAATTGCAAAGTCTTCGCCACGGAAAAAAAATTGAATACTAAAAGGTTGTTTAGAATAATTTAAATAAGTATATTTTTTATCTTTTTATGAAAAAATGTACAGAAAAATAGAGAGATGATATGATGAAAAAAAAATAAAACGATAAAAAATGTGTACTTATTTAGGATAGCCAAACTTAACCTAAACCTTACCATTCATTACTGTTTCTTACTCATATCACATCATTATTGTTACATTAAACTTTTATTTATTAAAATATTAAACTTGACATTTATATTGTATTAATTAAAGTTAAATAATTTAAATTAACGATGGGAAATCATATGTAACATTACACATCGACCATAACATTAAGCTTAATTAATTCTAATCCACAAGCCTCCATCACATTATATAAGTTTCTTAAACAATAAATTGAATTTTTCACTATCACAAAATGTATAGAGAGAACAGTCTCGGATCTTATGTACAAAAAAAAAAATTCAAGCTAAAAAAAACACAATAATCAAATTAAATCCCCAAAAATCCCCGAATCGTGTCCCTAAGTTGTAAATCTAGTGAGCTTGAGAGATTTCGGGTTTTGGCGGCAACATAAAGCGGGGCTTCTTCGCAGGATGAGGACTCGAGACCTCCTCGTCGCGGAATCCCGGCCAGAACTCCGGCAAGGCAGGGAGGTTCAAATCGAAATCACGGTGGCTGACGGTGGAACCCGCACCTTCCGACAAGGTGACACCGCCGCTGCTTCCTCCGGCGGCGGCGCTCCCAGCGCCGCCTTCGTAGTGGCATCGCTTGTGTCCACCCAAGGCCTGGCCAGTGGGAAAGCACTTGTGGCAGATGGAGCACTCGTGCGTCCTTCCGCCGGTGGTGATGGCGGCGGCTGTGGTGGTGCCGGTACCGGTGGAGGTTGTTGACTGGTCGTCGGTTCCTCCGGCTTGCTTGCGGTGACTGGCCTTGTGACCGCCTAGGGCTTGGTAGGAGCCGAAGGCCTTGTCGCATACGCTACACTTGTAGACGGGCTTTGAATCGGACGAAGTCGATGGCTGCGGCGGCGGAGGAGGTGTGGAGTGGCTGCGATGTGAGGCGGTGGAGGAGGAGGCGGCGCCGCCACGAGCGAGCATGATGAGGCAGAGAGCGAGGTACTCTTCTTCAGTGGGTGGGGTTTCCATACGCGGACGCTTCGAGCGCTTCCCTTTGGACCACTGTTCCAGATACCGATGGCTCACGTTTTCATGGTGGAACGAAGAGGTTGCTGCGGTGGGTGAGTTGAGAGCTTCGAGAGCCATTACAACTTAGTAAAAAACAGAGCTGAGAAGCTTGAAACAGCTGAGAGAGATGAACAACACACAGACTTTTAGAGAGAGAGAGAAGAGGATGATCAGTTCTAGAGAGAGAGGAGTGTGGGAAGGTTGAATTGGAGTGAAGAGTGGTGTGGGAGGGGTTTATATATACATATATAAGGAGGTGGGAACCGTGGAGAGGACACTAGAAAAGGAAGCTGCGAGACAGGTGTGAGGAAAGTAAGAGAGTGGTGTGGTGCTGTACATATTAAAAAAAAAAAAAATAGAAATTATTGTTTATTTATTAATAACTTATGACGTAACAGAAGTAGTGGCGCACATTTAAGGAGTGGACTAAGTCGGTTTACGTAGAGAGAGAAAAATTGAGCAAACACATTTAAGGAGTGGACTGAAGTCGGTTTAGGTAGAGAGAGAAAAATGAGCAAATTTTTTTTTTTTTTTTAAAAACTTATTCCATACTATTTGGAGACTTTCATAATGTATAATTGTAATTTGAAAAATATTCGGAACTTAAAATTTGGATTTTTTTAAATTAATAGATAGAAAAGTAATTATTCTTTGTTTGGAAAGTGGATTATTTTGGTTGGTTATTTAATTTTTTTAATTATTTTGTGTTTGAAAAGTTAATTGACTTTTTTTTATTGTTGATTGTGAGAAAAAAAATAAAATAATTATGGATTTTTAAGAAGTGGGTTAAAAATCACTTTCTAACTTTTAAACTGTTTTGGATCACATCACCACTCACATTTTTTATAGTTGATTTGTTGATTGTGAGAGAAATAATAAAATAATTATGAGTTGAATGTGATATTTTAGCCTCTTTTGGAAAGTTAGTTAAAAGTCACTTCTCAGCTTTTTAACCCATTTTGGATCGCATGACTACTTATATTTTTTATACGTTTTTCAAAAAAAATCAAAAAATCAGCTTTTAACTATCTTTCCAAAACACCCTTTTTGTCTTATTGACCATTTTAATATATTTTGTCTTTTTGTAGGCTACTTTAATCTAACCCTCTTCCCAAACACCCCCTTATGAAAATATTTATGTCATTAAACAGATGGTTAATACACAAAATTATAAAGTCAATAATAGATCTTATAACACAAAAAAAGTGTTACACAACCAATATGTCAAATGCTTTAATTTTAGTAATGTGTTGAATGAATTAAGTTTCATACAGTTGACTGTATAATAAATTAAAAATTAACATTTAACAAAACATGCCATTAGAGCTATACTAGAAACACAACAGATTATAAAATAATTCACAAAAAATATATGAAAAGATTCACATTTAAAATAAATTTTAACTTGCCGATACACTTTTTATGTTCTATTATACGTTTTTATTTTGTACTTTTAACATTGAAAGAGAAATTTTTTTAGAAATTTTAAATGATTAGAAAAATAAAAATTATAGTTAGGGGTTGTTTGAGGTGTCCTAAATAAGTGCACTTTTTGTCTTTTTGAATTAAAAAATTGAGGTTGAAAATATGGATGTTTGAGTTAACTTTTTGACTTTTTATGAAAAAATATGTAATAAAAATTTGTAAAAATTGATTTGTAAGGAAAATTTTAAATTAGGAGTTGTGCAGCCGTAATTAATGATTTTTGATGAATAATATTAATTTTTTAATTTTATAAATAACTTTTTAATTTTTTAATCTTTTTTACAAGTTTCCAAACTTGATCTTAGTTTTCGTTTTTCGTTTATCAGTTTAGGGAAGGAAGTGAGAGTGAAAATGATTAAAATAGAAGACCAAAGACCACTTCAAAGTCAAAACCAGAAACCCAATTGAGAAAGAAAGGAAAAAGATGAAGAAAAAAAACACGCGTTCTAATTTTTTTTTTTTTGAGAACTTTCTAAATAAATTAACCATCTTTTGTATCTCTTTCTTAGCAGCCAGGAGAAGCCGTCTTCGAAGGTGCGGCCGCCTCTCTCTAACGACCTTTCTGCAATTGGGAGGTCATCGCCTATGTAATCTTTAGATATACTTTTTGGTCTTAAAATATTAATTTTTTATTTTATTTTAAAATATTAATCTTTTTTTAAAAAAATTAATAACTAAAATAATATTAATTTTTTATTTTACTTTTCTTTTAAATTCATTAACAATATAAAAATTATAATTATAACAATTAATAATTCTCAAAAAATATACTATCAAAAGATAATTTTAAAAAATTAATTTTTTTAAAATGCGACAATTACACTATCAAAAAAAGTTAAATTCTCCAAAAAGAACTATTATTTTGGGACAAATGCAATATATAAGTTATTTTAGAAAGTTGATTAAAAGTTAATTTTTTTTATTTTTTTTTAAAAAATATTAAAAAATAAAAAAATAATATAATTTAAAATAAATTAACAGCTCACTTTTAACTTTCAGTCATTTTCCAAAAGAGGCTACAATTAATTGACTATATGCATGCATTCATTCATTCATGCACCCTTAAGTGGTGTTCAATCCAAAATCAACTTGTACATTCACATTGAATATATATTATTCTCTATTGGCTTTTAATTGCTTTGTGTCAGTGGGAATAAACAAATATAAGAGCTACTCTTTAATTTTAGAATTCTAATTAAGTTTTAATAATATGACCAAAAAAAATAAAAAATCAAAATATCACATCATAATAGAGTTTATTTTCATGAGAACTCACCGTTTGGGAAGTGGGTTGGCTTTTTAACTTTTTGACTTTTTTGGCTATTTTAGCCTGGGCTAAAAAGTTTGGTTTGGGAAGGACTTTTTGACTTTTTGACTTTTTTAGTTTTTTTGTGACCAGTTCCTTACACCCTTCCCATACCATTACATGGTTGACTGAAATAATTGCTATTTCCTTCGTTGGGCAAAAAAAAAAAAAAAAAAGTCAAAATATCACATCATAATAGAGTTTATTTTCATGAGAACTCACCGTTTGGGAAGTGGGTTAGTTTTTTAACTTTTTGACTTTTTTGGCTATTTTAGCCTGGGCTAAAAAGTTTGGTTTGGGAAGGACTTTTTAGTTTTTTGATTTTTTTAGTTTTTTTGTGAGAGAAGAATGTAATGATTATGGGATGGATGTGATATTTTATCTTTTGTAACTAAAATAGCCAAAAAAGTCTCGTTTAGCTCTTGCCAAACGGAGCTCATTTATCAAAGTTTCCAATTATTTTTGCAAATATAATAATCAAAAATATTTGAGAGTTGTAAACCAAGAGTTCTAATAGGTGAGACTCACCCATTGATATGATGTTTTGAATTTTTGTTTTTATTTATTTTTGCCACATAAGTAGAGCTCAATTTAAAATTCTACCTTTAGAGCTCTCTATCACCATTGTATAATGTTAGACTACGTTTATATACACTGAGGTGCAAAATAGTTACCAATAATGAAAATTTGTCAAGAATCTTATCCAAAAAAAATAATGTGTGATTTAAATTCAATTATTATATAGTGTAATTCAAATTTAAATAAGAATAAAGATTGGGACCCCCTTTCTCCCACCTCTTTTTTGACCCCCTTTCTTTTTTGATTGGTCACTTTTTCTTTTTCTTTTTCTTTTTCTTTTTCTTTTTTCTCTCCTCCTCCAATCACCACCCGCTACGTGTGTGTGGGGTGGTGGGGGTTGAAGTTTGAGGGGGTCTAAATCACTGCTGTTTAAATAAATCACAATTTTTATTATGTTTTTTAGGTATTTTTCTAAGTAAATTTTTTGAGTTTGTTGCATTTGTGTATTAGGTGACTTCTAATATATGGAGTCTGTTTAAAAAATCTCATTTTGGGTAAGAATATGAGCCGACATTAGGCATAATTAACATTTTGATTTTCATTATAAAATCATGCATGGCTATTTATTGTTTTATGCATGAAATCAAAAGTACTTTTAATCAGTTCAATTATCAGTCAGTTATCAGTCATTATCCGTTTCGTTTAACAGTAATCGGTGATTATCGGTAATCAATCAGTCCTTAATCAGTAAACAGTATGGGGGTTGTTACAATAATTAACATTTTGATTTTCATTATAAAATCATGCATGGCTATTTATTGTTTTATGCATGAAATCAAAGCTGATAGCTATTTTGGGAATTAACTATTTTAATTGAATTTTTAACTTTATAAAATAGTAGAGAAGATAGTTGATTTTTTTTGTAATGATTTTTTTATTTTTTTAGAGGAAATTTTATTCCCCACCCCCAAATTATACCCCACTAATCAATTTCACATCCAAACTTTTGATATTGTCAATTTACTCCTAACCTATTTAAATCATGATCAATTTGCTCACTATCGTCACATTTAAATGGAAAAAATTTAAAAAAAACAACCATCACCATCACCACCACCACTATCACCGCCACCAACCATCACCACTTTTTGTTAGTTAACGAAAGCTAACAACCATCAACCCTCACATTATCTTTCTCCTTCCAGTGACCATCACCTAGCGACCCCCCGGTAGCTTGCAACAACAACGTTGCTAGGTTGGTTCAAAGTTTTTCTTCCGTCAACCCATTTGTGGTTTTTCTTCCTAAACCCTTCTCTATCTACAATTCACGCACAATGGACATGCCGTTCGCAACCTCTAAAACCCTTGCGATGTGTTTTGTTCTTGAAGGATTCTTCTAGGTTTGGTTTGGGTCTTTAACAATTAACAAATCAATTTAACAATTAACTACTTATGAAAGCCTACCAATCATCAAATCACTCAATTTAACAATTCTTTTATCAGAGAAGCAAAATGTTATCAAATAACTCAATTAACGCCTTTGTTGTTTTGAGCTCACATAACTAGGGCCAAGTTTGGCTAACAAAAAAAAGTGCACTTATTTCATCTTTTTATCTTTTTTGGGTCACATCAATCAGCATCTTTTCTTTACTTTTTCTACACATAATACAAAAAAAGTAAAAAAATACACTTATTTAGGTCTCTCTCTCTCTCTCTTTCTCTCTCTCTCTCTCTCTCTCTCTGTTTCCTCTATCTCTCTCAGTTTAAAGATTTGATCTAGATCTGGGTAGGGTAGTAGAGGGAAGGGAGGGGTCATCAATGTTTGGTTAGGATGGAAAAGGGGTGGCGGTGGTGGCAACGTGAAAGGCAGAAAGGTTGAGTTGAGGCTGCGGTGGCGAGTATGGTAAATTA